GGTATGTAGACCTGAACATATTCTTCTAGAGACCCTTAGTCAAGCTTAGGAGCTCCTTAAGAGGATAGATTTCTTAGATGGTTAATCACACCTAGATAAAAAAGATTGGTGGCGACTCTATTTGTTAAGTCTAGCTATAGATTTACGAATCTATATGTTATGACAGCTTGGTGACTCCATGGGGGATAGCTAGAGAGTCAAGCCATAATTTTTGAATTTATCCTATCTTTTGGTCTAATGGTTTTAACGATTTGTGTTATCTATTTACTAACATTTTTTTTGTTTTGTCTTATCCTTCATTTTTGGGGGCATGAAACCTATATGTTCTTTCACAGACACTATCACATGCATTTATATTCCATGAGCTTTATACCTAAGCTCTATCCCTCTTAAGAGGGAGTAAAGTACCTACGATCTTGTGAGATGATAATCTCTGCGATAGCTAGCAAAATAGTCTCACTCAAATTAAATCATTTTCGTTGGTAGCCTATGATAGGTGAGGATTGAACTGCCTTACTAGTTTATAATGGATGATAATGTAATGAACAATTTAAAAACCTTTTAGTGGTTAAAACCTCTTAACCCTACATATAGTTCACCCCTAAAAGGCCAACCTTAGGATAGAGCCATTCCTACTCATCAATAGATATCACCCAAAATTAGGACACAAGAAGAACAACTTGTATATTACTTATCTAACTATTTTGTTTGTTTGATTTTGTGCATCACAACATTATCATATCATTATATGCATCATTTTCATCCTCATGTTTTAACATTTCCATATCATTTAATTCTATGCATCATTTTCATGATTATGTTTTAACATTATCATTTGCATCATTCTCATATAGGAAATATTTACCATATATCAATTATTGATAAATCAGATCTCCCACTTACATCTATGAAGAGCCAAATGCAATCAAAGTCTACATCAGTCCATTATTAGTTTGCTCATCAACTAAAAATCAAGTTAGATGAAGGTCAAAGAAAACAAGAAAATTGCTTGCCTGAAGATTTTATCACATTATTGCTTGAGAGAGTTCATCTCGAGCTATAGTAAAATGATCTAGCTGACTTAAGTAGTATCTGGATATGCATGAGTAGAACAAGGTAGGAGCCATTTGAGAATAGATATGGAGACATAGCATCACTACTCCAAGTAGATATGGATAATAATCTGGTTAGGGCATCATCCAATTTTTGGATCCTTTTTATAGGTGTTTTGTCTTCAATTTGCCAAACCTAGGCAAGATTTATTGATCCAACAAGGTGGGCTATCATAAAAAGCTAGCCCAAATGCTTGGACTTAGCTTGTTTCAAGTCAATGCATGTGTCAAGATAAAAGGTGAAAGTAAGGCTTAAAAATTAAATAAATACATAAATAAAAAGAATTACTAAATGGTGGAGAATTTAAAAATTAAAAAAAAAGAGAATATTTTTAATTTAGCCCAAATGGTGAAATAATTATATATATTTTCAACAAAAAAATAAAACTAACAAAAATTTTTTCGACGAAGCCTTTTCAAGGAAACAAATAAGATCTTTGAATACTCTTGAGGTGAGAAAATATTTTTTGAAGAGTTCTACTATATTGATAGATAATCATAAAAATTATTTTCAATATTTAACATAAAATTTGAAACCATTAAACTTAAGACCTTAGGATAAATTTGAAATAATATGGTACCATCCTTTGGATGATCATATAGGGATGCTATAACCTTTCTCACATGTAACCAAACTCCGGAACCCTATTCGGTTTGTAGACTTGAACCTATTTTTTTAGGGACTTTTAATTAAGCTTAGGAGCTCCTTAAAAGGACAGATTCTTTTGGTGACCAATCACACCTAGATAAAAAAGATTGGTGGTAACTCCATTTGTTAAGTCTAGCTATAAATTTATGAATTTATATGTTATGATAGTTATTATAAATTATAATTTAACTAAGCTTACAAGTGACTTAAGGATATTCATTAGTGAATTTTTTTTGATAAATCTTTATTTAATATTTTAGTAGTTTTGAATTTTAAGTTTTGATATTTTTTAGTAGTGTTTTAGACATAAACTTAGGGATTAATTAGGTTACATAAAATTTTATCATCTACTTATATTCATAGTATACTCAATTATTTACTTATGCACATGAGTAAATTTGACTCGATAATTGGTACATGTTTCTTTTTATTTAAAAAGTTTGATTCAAATCAATTTAAATCCAAATAAAAAAGGAGCATACTCAATTACCTATAATTATAATTTCACTTTAGGAATATTTTTAAAAATTAATTAACTAATTCTACCACAAATATAATAAAAATGAGACATTGAAGATAAAAGAGAAAAAAAACTTAAATACAAAACTTTTAGATTGTTACATAAGTTGATTAAGAAAAATTAGATTCTGATTAAGTTACTATTTAATCTTTGGTTTTGTCTAATCATTTCAGATTTTAAATAATTACTAAGTTGTCAATTTTTTAAAATCAATTGAAATCAAAATCAAGTTAGTTCATTTTTACAATTGGGTATATTATATTAAGTTTAATTAAATTAAAATTAAAAATGAGTAAAAATTTTATATATACTCAATTTGAGTTTTGAACTATTTCAAATTTGAGTTGATTAATCATATTATTTTTAGTTATATTTTTTTGGCATCGATAATAAACTTCAAAATAAATGAGAACACAAATATAACGAAAATTTAAGTACAAAAATTATGGGGATACTAATAATAATTTTAGAAGAAAATTTTTATACTACAGTCTTACAAAAATTCAAGAATATATATTTTTTAAGGATATTTAAATTCGTATTACAAAAATATTAATTTAGATTAACGAGTTTATAATTATTCATTTGCTGATCAAGTTGCCTTTTGACAGATTTATTAATGGAGAATGCAAATCTGATTATTGTGAAGTTAATATTTTTATAAAAAAGTTGCCTTTTTTTTATCAATTTTATGTAGTAAATTATTTCTCATTACTTTTATCATATGTATATAACAAAATGTTTACCCAAAATTATATACTTAAAAATATAAATATAAGGCAAAGTTTATTAATTTCATTGTTGGAAGAACACTTCAAAAATTTTCAATCTTTTATATGTAATTGTATTTTGCTAACAAGTATGATAATACATACACTAATTATTTAATTAAATCATCAATAAAATTTATCTTAATATGTCCAATTTTACCATGAACTAAAAAATTTGAAGAATATCTTAGAAATATTCACTTAATATATATTGTATATATTTATTTAATTTAGTTTTGATACTTGCATTGTCATAATAAGTTATGATTTGAACTTATAATTACGTATTAAACTATGAATAGTAAATTAAAAGCATTTACTAATTGTTTTTCATGTTATCTACACTTAATTTTTTTTTTTTTTTACTTTATTTCTCTACTTTACAAATTATATCATTTAGCATACATTTATTGTTACTTTATTTTTGGATATACATAAATCAACAATAATATAATAATAGATAGTTAATAATTTATTAATTAAACGTTGAAAATATAAAAGTAATTAATATAATTTAATTGTAATCATAAATAACGTAATAATTAATTAGTAATAACTTAATCAGTATAACTTATTTTTTATCATTGATATAATACAAAATTGATAATTCCACCAAGCTAATTTAGAATTTGATTGCAATATTTCCTTTCCAATCCGTCATAAAAGGTGAAAAAAGGAGCCTAATGATCCAAATTTCATGTTTTCACAGATTACAACTTCAAATTTGAATTTCATCATTTATCAAATCTTAACGATTTCTATGCAATACTAACCAACTTCCAGTAGAATTTATTCATTTTAATTCATTAACAACAGGGATACAACATAAATGAGGACTTAGCCTTTTTTGTTCTTAAATATTGAAGCATGCTAAAATTTATCAACTACAAGTTTCATAAGAAGCTACAACTGCTACTATCACTAGAAGGCTTCTGTGGAACTGCTGGTGCGTCAAAGACGTACGCTCGGCTCACGGCATATATTGCATCAAGTTTTGTAGTATCTTCAAACCTTAAATTATAAGAATGCCAATCCATAATTTGGATTTTGCTATTTTTTTTTTTCAAATTCACGCTTATTAAAGGGATAGTTTGATTTTGAGTTGTGAACTTGTAATACAATTTTTGTTTTGTTATTTTGTTTTCCTTCTTAACTTTGTTTTAACTTATTAATTTTTTAAATTTAGACAATGAAAAACATATAAAATCTTGTGTTAGCGATAACAAAGACTTTCTCAAAATTTTATGTTCAAATTTCACTATTTATTGATTTGATATAACTATATATTGGTTTGTTAAATAATATAAGTAGAATTTGGTAGAAAAAGAGATGTGATTAACATTTAAACTCTAGTAATTGCACTTTTGATTCACTTTTCACAAGGCTTTAATTTGCTTTACATTTATGGAATAATGTTTCTTTGAAATTACAACATGCTTTAAAATCTTTAACTAAATTTCATTTAGCTACAACCAATCTAACAATTGTTATCTCTTTCATAAGAAAAAAAAAATAAAGGATTTGGAATCCTCTTTCTATCCTTGATCTCATATATATTTATATACACAATATATATAGTTTAATCAATCCAAGTAAGCATAATTAAATTTAGTCTAATTAATTAATCAATATCTATTACAACTAAAAATAATTTTTTATTGTCGATTAATTTTTAAATCAGTTAACATATCATTAAAATTATATTTAGAATTAAAAATTTTGGGTTCGAAAAAATTTATGTATGTAATATCATTTTCAACCAAATAAATAAAATGATAAGAAGTTTTAAAGGTGGATTGGTAATTTAAAGAAAAAATTAATTTTTATTTTAGTAATAGAATAAATAATGTATTTTATTTATTTTAATTATAAAACATGTAAAAATTTTTATTATTTTGCCCATAATTTATAATTTGTAATATATAAAAATAAATATGAATAGTCTTTTGAACCAACGGAAATGGATTCGTTTATTATATTTCCAAGTGCAAGGTCAAAGTTGGGCTTAACTCTTACATCAAACCTCAACACAAATTTAGTTAGGCTTTGAATTAAGGGAAGAAATCTTCGGCCCATCTTCCTGTCATCAAAGATAATTGGACTTCCAAATATGTCCAATGAAAATTTTCCAATGCAAAATAAAAAGAAGCCCAAAATATATTACCAAACATAAAAAACTATTGTTGTACAAAAGAAATTAAAAACTATAAATAAATTGTTAAATTACTAAAAAAAAAAAAAAAGGAAAAAACAGAGATTCGGTTTCTTATCAGACACGCAGAACAGAAAACTGAAGTGAAAGAACAAAACAACCAGCGAAAATGTTGGCAGCACTTCCACCACCAGCTTCATCTCCCAACGTAACAACAACTTCCTTCTCGTTCACAAGCGCACTCCTTCATGCGCCACCCAAACCCCAATTTGCATTCCTCCTACGCGCCACTCCCGACTCATCCTCCACCTCACCAGATTCTGACCCATTCGAATTCCGCCTCTCCCAAGCCTGCCTCCATTACCGAACCGGAACTGGCAAAAAAGCGGAGCTTCGAAAATCAAAGAAATCAGTATCCATATTGGGATCCACTTTCTACTCCTCTTCCTCCTCCAACTACCTCCCTCCGGTGCCTCTAAAAGAAGCGATTTCAAATGGGTTAAAAGTGGATTTCGGGTTTAGCCCATATAGCGAGAGGATAAACGGGTGGATCGCGGTTTGGAGTTAACTGCTTTGGTTCTGGTGGAATTGGCGACTGGTAAGAGCGTGATAAGTTATCACACACGGGCGATTATTTTAATTCAGATTTATTTTGTAGCCGCGGTTGGGGCTTTGCTTGTCAAACAAGAGAAAGAAAAAAGGTGTTTGGACTCCTTCTCAATCCTCTTCACCCAAAAATTCAAACTAATCCTCAACGTTTCGAGGACCTCCAATCCAATCAATCAACTTGTCTACTTGCTTATCGACGTTCGTTGCCACTTGGGAATTTTTGAACTCCTCAACTTCTCATGAGAAAGAAAAAAGGTGTTTGGACTCCTTCTCAATCTTCCGTACGTATAGACGTCTTATTCACATTTTTTAAAAAACCATATATCGTATATGTAATTTTAGTCATATTATGCTTTTAAATACGAAGGATATTCATTAGCAAGATTTAATTGATAAATCTTTATTTAATTTTATATTTAATATTTCAATAATTTTGAATTTTAACTTTTGATAATTTTAAGTAATGTTTCAGACATAAAATCAAGGATTAATTAAATTTTGTAAAGTTTTATCATCTACTTCTATTCATAGTATATTTACTTACATGTATGAATAAATTTGACTTAATAATTGGTATATATTTCTTTTTATTTAAAAAGTTTGATTCAAATCAATTTAAATCCAAATAAAAAAATAAGCATATTTAATTACTTATAATTATAATTTCACTTTAGGAATATTTTTAAAAATTAATTAGTTAATTCTACCACAAATAGAATAAAAACAAGACAATGAAGATAAAGGAGAAAAAACTCAAATACGAAACTTTTAAATTGTTACATAAGGTGATTAAAAAAAATTGGATTATGATTGGATTACTATTTCAATTCAAAATTTGATTTTGTCCAATCATTTTGGATTTTAAATAACAACTAAGTTGTCGATTTTTTAAAATAAATTGAAATCAAAATCAAGTTAGTTCATTTTTATAATTGTGTATATTATCTTACTTTTAATTAAATTAAAATTAAAAATGAATAAAAATTTTATATATACTCAATTTGAGTTTTAAATTATTTCAAATTTAAGTTGATTAATCATATTATTTTTGTTATATTTTTATGGCATCAATAATAAACTTTAAAAGAAATGAGAACACAACATAAAGAAAATTTAAGTAAAAAAATTATGGAGATAGTAATAATAATTCTAGAAAAAAAATTTTATACACCAGTTTTACAAAGATTAAAGCATATACATTCTTTTAAGGATATTTAAATTCGTATTACAGAAATGTTAATTTAGATCAATTAGTTTATAATTGTTCATTTACTGATTAAGTTGCCATTTGATGGATTTTTTAATGGAGAATGCAAATCTATTATTGTGAAGTTAATTTTTTAAAAAAAAAGTTGCCTATTTATTTTTTTTATCAATTTTATGTAGAAAATTTTTTCATATTACTTTTATCATATGTATATAAAAAACTTTTTAGCCAAAATTATATACTTAGAAATATAAATATAAGGCAAAGTTTATTAATTTTATTGTTGGAAGAACACTTCAAAATTTTAAATCTTTTATATGTAATTGTATTTTGCTAATAGGTATGATAATACATACACTAATTATTTAATCAAATCATCAATAAAACTTATCTTAATATGTCCAATTTTACCCTGAACTAAAAAATGTGAAGAATATATTAAAAATATTGACTTAATATATATTGTATATATTTATTTAATTTAATTTTGATACTTGTATTATCATAATAAGTTATGATTTGAACTTATAATTATGTATTAAACTATGAATAGTAAATTAAAAGCATTTACACATTGTTTTTCATGTCATCTACACTTAAAATTTTTCTTGCCTTCTTTCTCTACTTTACAAATTATATCATTTAACATACATTTGTGGTTACTTTCTTTTTAGATATACATAAAATCAACAATAATATAATAGTAGATAGTTAACAATTTATTAATTAATCATTAAAAATGTAAAAGTAATCATAATAATTTAATTGTAATCATTGATAATGTAATAATTAATTAATAATAACTTAATCAATATAACTTATTTTTAATCATCGATAATACATAATTGATAATTCCACCAAGCTAATTTAGAATTTGATTGTAATATTTCCTTTCCAATCCATCATAAAAGGTGAAAAAAGGAGTCTAATGATTCAAATTTCATGTTTTCACATATTACAACTTCAATTTTGGATTTCATCATTTATCAAATCTTAACGATTTCTATGCAATGTAATAAATCTTAACGGTTTATATTAAAATTTGATAGTGGTATAATTTTTTTATTTATTTGAATTGGAGTGATAGTTTTCGAGTAAATTTAAGAATTTAAAATATAATAACATGTCTAATAAAAATTATATATAGGTTTAATAAAATCTAAAAAATATATTTTATATTTTTCATGTTAAAATAAATTATAACATGTAATTTTTATATAAAATATGATATAAACACTCGAATTATCTAATATATTTCCGAGACATATTCAAGTTTGTTGAGTATCCCTACACAGTCGTGAAGGATGCACCATTGCATGTATAGAAAATTTGGCAATAAGAGGCATGATAGGTTTAATTTTTTCTTTAGAAGGATTGGCCAATCCGTGTGAGTTATGGAGCCATGGGTGGTTATGTGTTGGGAATGGTGGAATCCTTTGGGCTTTGCATTAATGCGCCGTGAACAAAAACAACTCAAAAGTAAAGTACAACATGTCTACTCCAACTACTCTTAACTGATTTTTTGTAGTTATTCATTCATATTAGAGTTTTATATTTTTTTTTATATAAAAGTATGATAATAGTGATCAATTAAAACAACTTCAATAAAATTTTAATTTTTAAAATATTAAAAATAAGTGACTAAAATACCCTTAATAAATTTTTAATAAATTTAATTTAATTATTTTTAATTACTAACTTTTTACTATTAAATTCTCATTTATTAAAATTTTAATAAAGTTTAATTCAAGCATTTTTTATTATTGAATTTTTTTTATTACTAACCTTTTTCATATAAAATAAAATATTCATTAATCATAATTGATTTCTTTTTTCCAGTTCGTTTAATTAATTAGTTGTCATTCAATAGCATTTCTCTCATATTTTTGTTATTTCCTTTTTCATTCTTATAAATAATTAATGTGTAGATAAGATCATCATAAAGTTTAATTTGATAGACAAACTTGACATGAAATCAAATCATAAAATTTTAGTCATACTTTTTCATAAGCAAACAAAATACTGAAATAGTATAAACATCAATGCATGATCAAACTTGGCTATGTTTTATTTTTTTATAATTCCACTATAATTCGTTGTTATGTTTTAGAAGTAATTGAAAATGCACTTGTATTTTTTTTAATATTATTTTAATAATTTCGTTATTGATTTTCATTTCATATTGAATTCGTTGGAATTTAAAAAAATAAAAAGTGTATCCTACAATTAAAATAAAGATTTGATGAAAAATCTACCTTTGAACACATACTCTTTTTATTATTTGGTCCTGCTTTATATATTTATTTTTATGTATAGTTAGATTTATTTAATTTAAACTTAAAATAATTTAAAAAGTTAGTGAAATTCATTATTAAATTGTGTTACTAAATTTTAACATATATATATATAACATATATGTCGTATAGGACTTTGTAGTCATATTATGCTTCTAACTAACATAGACCATTGAGATCAAAGCCAATTAATAATATTTATAGTGAATTTCCATACAAGTAAATGTAGTTATTTTTTAACGTCTAAAAGTGTGAATCCCAAAAGTGTTAAAAATAATTAACTTAAATATTTTAATTAATTTTTAAATTAATAAAATTATCTTTAAATATATATAACTTTTATTAATTTATTTAAGTTTAATTTAAATCAACTAAAATTAAAAATAGAGTTTATATGAAATTAATCTACTAAAAAATTTAAAATTTTAGTTCCAAAAATGTTAAAAATGATTGACTAAAAACTTTTAGTAATTTTTTTTATAAATTTTAATTTAAATGAATTTTCCTTTTTATTATTATAATCTTTTTTGTAATTAGACTAAAAAAATTCTTAAGTGATTTTTTTACTATAACAAAAAGTGATTGACTAAAATATTCTTAATAAAATTTTAATTTAGAAAATATTAAAAGTAATTGATTAAAATACTATTAGTAAATTCTTTAAAAATTTTAATCTAAATGATTTTTTTTAATTAGACTCAAATTAAGATACAAAATATTATTTTCATATAAAATAAAAATACAAATAGAATAGGATTGAAGCCTATTAGTGTGCATGGCAATAAGACAATTAGATGGGGTTTGTTTTTTATTGTTTTAAAACTAATTGCACATATAGTTTATGTTGATAAATAAATTCATTAAAAATAATCATAATTAAGTCATTGAAGCTTTTTTTTTTTTTTTCTGTTTTTTGCCTTTCAATTTTTTGTTTTAATTAATTTGCTAACGATATATGTATGTTAATGGTTTTATTATTTGTATGTTTTATGAATTGATCATTTTATCATTTTTTTTTGTTCAAATTATTTGATCATTGATAATATAATTAAATCTTTTTAGTCACTGAAAATAATTTTTTAATGCATATCATCTTTATAGTTTAACCCAACTTCTATATTTAATTTATCTTTTGTATTTTCCTTTTTCAGAATTTTATAATTATTACTCCATGAATAAAAACTAATATGAAATCAAATGCAAATTAATTACACACACCTTCCACCGATAATTGGCACTATATGATTTATTGAACATTTTGAACACTTCAATTAGACTTCTAACTTATATAATTAGATGATTCATGAGGTGTTGCATTTGCCACTAACTCAAGATCAAATTGTAATAAGAATTATTCCACTTAACTAATTTCTATCTCAAGATGATTTAATATTTTTCAGTTGTATTAAATTACTCACTTTTGTTTGTCATCCATGTGGTTGAAAGCCCTAACTTGAATTATTCTAAATAGAGAATTCTCAAATGAAGTATGACTAATTGTTTTTGTGATTTTTTTTTAATATATGACAAAATTTATTGGAACTATCTTTTTAATGTGCTTATGCCAATGTTACATTTTTTGCCATGCCAAGGTTACATTCATTCATGAAAATTTATGTTGTTAATATTGAAAATTAAGTCAGTATAAATCATATAGGTACCACATAACAAGTTTGTTATTTTGAGAATTAGAATTTTCTTGAGAAAGAACATGATAAGTACCAAGGTTAGGAATTTTTTTTATTTCATTTTAATTTCTAAGATTATGTATTTTAATAATTTTATACAATAAAAAATTTCAAACAAAAGAAAAAATAAGCTTTCAAATGATAGAGCATACAATTACAATCAATCAATGAAAGCATCAATGAAAAAT